CAATTGTCATGCATCCTCCAGCTTCTCCTCCCCCTCCTCCTCCTCCTTCTCCTCCACCTCCTCCTTCCCCCCCCCTCCCCCTCCTCCTGCTCCTCCTTCTCTCTGTGCACGGCCCGTACGAGGGATGTGCCGAAATGGGTGGAGGGACACATGCAAACTTTCTCGCTGGGGCCATATGTGGAGCTATGCGGAGCTCCCCATGGGGCGCGATCCGTGAAAAGGTTGCGCCGAAATTGGCGGGCGGAACACGTGCGAGACCTGCCCACCGGAGCCGCAAATTGAGCTCCATGAGGGGCCACGAAACGTGCGGTAGGTGTGCCCAGATTGGTGCGGTGCCGCCGTGCGAACCCTCAAACTGGGGCCCTCGTGGGGCCACGAGACGTGTGAGGGGTGCGTCGAAAAGGGCGTATGGCGCGGTGCCGCTATGCGAATCCGCCGAGGGATGAGCCGACATCGGGCCACGACACGTGTGAGGGATGAGCCGACACGGGTGCGACGCCGCCATGCGGACCGTCAAACTGGGGCCGCCGGTGGAGCGCTCCCTGCGGCGCCACGGCGCGTGGGAAGGGTGTGCCGACATCTGTGCACCGCCGTCGCGCGAGCCCTCCCACGGGGGCCGCAGGCGAAGCTCCCCGTGGGGCCACGGAGCGCGCGAGGGGGGGGGGCCAACAATGGGGGCGGCCGCGCCGTGCGGCCGCGACCGCTGAGACCGTGCGCAGAGCTCCCGGCGGGGCCGCGGAGCGCGCGAGAGGCGTGCTCGACGCGGACGGGCGGACGAAGAGCAGAGGACGAGCAGAGGGGCAGGGAGGTGGGAGGCGTGGACCGCGGAGGTCGGGCGAAGGGAGGAGGGGGGGAGGAAGGTGGGAGGAGAAGGGAGGAGGGAGGAGGGAGGAGGAGGAGGAGGAGGAGGAGGAGGAGGAGGAGGAGGAGGAGGAGGAGGAGGAGGAGGAGGTAGGAGGAGGAGGAGGAGGAGGAGGAGGAGGAGGAGGAGGAGGAGGAGGAGGAGGAGGAGGAGGAGGAGGAGTGAGGAGGAGGGGAGGAGAGGAGGGGAGGAGGAGGAGGAGGAGGCGAGGAGGAGGAGGAGGAGGAGGGGGGGGAGGAGGGGAGGAGGAGGAGGAGGAGGAGGAGGAGGCGGAGGAGGAGGAGGAGGAGGAGGCGGAGAGGAGGAGAGGAGGAGGAGGAGGAGGAGGAGTGAGGGATCGGAGGAGGAGGAGGAGGAGGAGGAGGAGGAGGAGGAGGGAAAAGTGAGGGGATGGGGAGACGCCGGGCGCTTCGGATCCAGAACAGGGGCCCAACAGCACAGGAAGGCTGGGATTGAGAAACAACGCTCCATCTCGGCCTGCGACTGTCCCATCTCGGCCTGGGTGCTGCCCATCTCGGCCTGCGACTGTCCCCCGAAGGCCCCAGGGAGCCGCCGGGCGGTCCTGGAGAGCCCCAGGACGTTCAGCTCCACAGGGTGGCCTCCAGAGAGCCCCAGGACGGCTGGAAAGCTCGAAGACGATCCCGAGACTGCCCCGAAAGGGTTCCAAAACGTTCCCAAGACCGGACAATATAGAGAGCAGAAAAGCCACCCTCGTAAGAATCACCCCGACACGCGAAGCCGTTTAGTAAACGCACCCAAAGAAGGAATCGAACAGGGCAGGGCTGTTTAGTAAACGCCCAAGACCGTTTAGTAAACGCTAATTATCGGGCCCGGCTGTTCCCAACCATCCTGTGGTGTTGGGTCCCCGTTTTGAAGAGACGGACCCGCGAATCTCCTCCTTCCTCCCTCCTCCCTCCTCCCCCTCCCCCCTCCTCCCTCCTCCCTGCGATTCACCCACCCAGCACAGCGATTCGTGGCCCCATAGGGAGCTCCACCGAAGACCCCAATGGGACCACCCGCATGCGTCAGCCACCAACCAGCACAGTGTTTCGTGGCCGCATAAGGGGGGGCTCCACCGAAGGCCCCAGTGACAGCGCCCGCATGCGTCAGCCACCACCCAGTACAGCGCTTCGTGGTCCCATAGGGAGCTCCACCGAAGTCCCCAGTGGCACCGCCTGCATGCGTCAGCCACCACCCAGCACAGCGCTTCGTGGCCCCATCAGGGGGCTCCACCGAAGGCCCCAGTTGCACCGCGCGCATGCGTCAGCCACCACCCAGCACAGCGCTTCGTGGCCCCATAGGGAGCTGCACCGAAGGCCTCAGTGGCACCGCCCGCATGCGTCAGCCACCACCCAGCACAGCGCTTCGTGGCCCCATAGGGGGGCTCCACCGAAGGCCCCAATGGGACAACCCGCATGCGTCAGCCACCACCCAGTACAGCGCCTCGTGACCCCATAAGGGGGGGCTCCACCGAAGGCCCCAGTGGCACCGCCCGCATGCGTCAGCCACCACCCAGTACAGCGTTGCGTGGCCCCACAGGGAGCTCCACCGAAGGTCCCAGTGGCACTGCCCGCATTCGTCAGCCACCATCCAGTGCAGCGTTTCGTGGGCCCATTGGGAGCTCCACCGACGGCCCCGCTGGCACCGCCCGCATGCGTCAGCCGCCACCCAGCACAGCGCTTCGTGGCCCCATAAGGGGGCTCCAACGAAGGCCTCAGTGGCACCGCCCGCATGCGTCAGCCACCACCCAGTACAGCGTCTCGTGGCCCCATAAGGGGGCTCCACCGAAGGTCCCAGTGGGACCGCCCGCATGTCAGCCACCACCCAGTACAGCGTTTGGTGCCCCCATGGGGAGCTGAACCGAAGGCCCCAGTGGCACCGCCCGCATGCGTCAGCCACCACCCAGTACAGCGTTTCGTGGCCCCAGGGAGCTCCACAGAAAGACCCCAGTGACACCGCCCGCATGCGTCGTCCACCACCCAGCACAGCGCTTCGCGGCCCATTGATTGGGAGCTCCACCAAACCCCAGTGGCACCGCCCAGATGCGTCCTCCCCACCCGGTACATCGTTTCGTGGTCCCGTAGGAAGCTCCAGTGGCCCACCAGCATGCGACCCCCCACCCAGTACAGCGTTCGTGTGACCGTAGGGAGCTCCACCGAATGCCCCAGTGGCAACGCCCGCATGCGTCCCCCCCTCCCGTGGCCCCATAGGAAGCGCCACCGAAGGCCCCAGTGGCACCGCCCGCATGCGTCAGCCACCACCCGGTACAGCGCTTCGTGGCCCCGTAGGGAGCTCCACAGAAAGACACCAGCGGCACCGCCCGCATGCGTCTCCCCCAACCAGTGCAGCGCTTCGTGGCCTCATCGGAAGCTCCAGCGAGGGGCACCGCCCGCATGCGTCAGCCACACCCAGTAGAGCGTTTCGCGGCCCTTAGGGAGCCCCACCGAAGGTACCAGTGGCACCGCCCGCATGCGTCTCCCCCACCCTTTCCGACACGTCCCTCACGCGCTTCGTGGCCCCATAGGGAGCCCCACCGAAAGCGGCACCCACAACGCGTTACTCACAACTGCATATGGTTGGGCCATTCGCCAAGATATGTTTTCCTCCCTTGACTCTAGAGAGCTCACAGACGGCCAGAAAGCTCGAAGACGTTCCCGAGACTGCCCCGAAAGCGAAAGGGTTCCAATAAGTTCCCAAGACCGGACAAGGCGGCCTCGAGATGTTCTACCGAGCTTCTGCAGGAGAGCTCGGCAGAGCTATTGCACACGAGGCGGCCCAAAAATCACCAGCGGACGCCCAAGCCTTGAGCGTTTCCTGAAGCCCTAGATGACCCTCCAATAACAAGCGACAGCCATGCATCGTCAGGGACACGCCACGCTTCAACATCGTACCGCCGCTTCCGAAACAGCACCTGAGTTGTTTGGTCGATCCTGTTGGAGAGAACTCGTTAGAGCCAGCCTGCATGCCTGACGATGCTGCACTGGCATGGCAGCCAGATTTGCCAAAGGCGGCTGGATGCATGCAGGTGTGCATCTGCGGGTGCACTGGATGCATGCAGGTGTGCATCTGCGGGTGCACATATAATACGTACGCAACGCAAGTTCACATGTATACACGCATATGAACTATAACCACACGCGCGTGCTTGCCAGGAGCTGTGGTACCAGTCTAAATCAGTCGCGCGCTTCACTCACGATTGCCTGTTGCTTTGTTCATGCGCTCGTCAAACGACGGGATGGCCGTTCTGATATCAGCTGTGGGAACCTGTATGCGCACACGCGTGATTGCCTTCCTTACTCGTATGTGGGCAAACATGTGGGGACGCATGTGGCGGATTTCGGAAACCCTGAACCCAAAAATAGAAGGAGAAAACACACATAAACATAAACGTTTGGCGCTCCGCGCGGATTTGTTGGATCCGCGCCGGACCCCCCCTCCTGGCGCGCGGAGCGCGCCAGGGGTGGCGCCGGAGGCGCCGCCAGGGGGGCCCAGCGCGGATCCAAGAAATCCGCGCGGAGCACCAAAAGTTTATGTTCGTGTGGTTCTCTTCCTCGGAAAAACGTGTTCATCTCCTAGGGGGCGCACCTTTTACTTCCGCCGAGCTTCCGTCGGCTTCCGCTGGCGGAGGCGGCCTCGTTTCACTTCCGCCGACCCTCCGCCACCCTTCCGCCGCCGTCCAGCCGAGGAAAAGCTGACAACTCCTTCGATCCTTGAAGGCAAGGCCCTTTTTTGGAACGCCTTGTGTATGTGTGCGTGTGTGTGTGTGTGTGTGTGTGCGTGTGTGTGCGTGTGTGTGTGGGCCGATGCTGCCGTTTTTGATTACGCCCTGAAGCAATGTAGTGGCTCGCAAAGTTGCGAGCAAGGAGGAGGAGGGGGAGGAGGAGGAGGAGGAGGAGGAAGAGGAGGAGGATGGAAGAAGAGGAGGAGGAGGAGGAGGAGGAGGAGGAGGAGGAGGGAGGATGGAGGAGGAGGAGGAGGAGGACGAGGAGGAGGAGAAGGAGGAGGAGGAGGAGGAGGAGGGAGAGGAGGAGGAGTAGGAGAAGGGGGAGGGGGAGAAGGAGGAGGTGGGGGAGGAAAAGGAGGAGGAGGAGGAGGAGAAGGAGGAGGCGTCCTGCATTTTCATCGCCCCTGTCAGATCCTGAGCCTCTCCTTCGGGATGGTCTTGATGGCACGGACCATGTCTGTCGCCTGGCATCTTGCGCAAAAGGCCGCGGGGGGGCTTTTGCGAGGCGGGGACTTCTCCATATCCACCGCCTGGGAACCGATGTCCTGGTGCCCCAGCGGGCGGCGGATGTGGATATATTTTGGCCCCTGGGGGCCCGAATATATCCATATCCACCGCCTGCCGAGGTCCCCGAAAATTGATGCTCCAGGCGGTAGTCATGTATAATTTCTCGCCTCGGAGGTTTTGACCATTCCACGAGTTTCCAAGAAGGCCCTTCCTGGCAACACCTCCTCCTCCTCCTCCTCTTCCTCCTGCTCCTCCTCCTCCTCCTCCGTGTCCTCGTCCTCCTCCTCCCCGCTGGAACAGAAGCAGTCCGCCGCTCCTAAATAGACGTTGCTGTCTATGGAGGTGCGGGCAGCTCACGATCGCGAGGGGACATGGAGGATTAGACAGGAGGAGGGATGGGGACGCAGATGAGGATGGGGAGGACCAGCAGTAGAAGGATGACGAGGGGGAGGACGACGAGGGATAGATAGAGATATTGAGTGACAGACAGACAGACAGACAGACAGACAGGCAGACTGACAGACAGACAGAAAAACAGACAGACACAGAGGGATGAAGAACGGAGGTGAAAGAGGCGGACGAGGAAGAGGAGTAGGAGCGAGGGGGAGAGGAAGGACCCGACGTCGGCAGCCGTCGTCTGCATCGGTACTCCCGACGGTCTCTCTCTCTCTCTCTTCTCTGCGACTTGAAACGAGAAGCGAGCCTGCATCCCCTGAGCTTGCTCACCGTAGTGCGCAGCCGAGAGAGCGTGAAACAGGAGGCGGAGGAGGGTGCCTACCAGGGTACCAGTGGGCTCCGGAGGTCTCTGCAAGCACCCAGGGGTGCCAAGAGGCCGCCGGAGGTCATCACAAGCACAGGAGGCAGTCGAACACCCGGATGCTCGACCCTCCCCCTCCTGCTCCATGCTGCGGTCGGAAACTTTTGCTCAGCGTGTCGCGGCAGCGGCCCCGGCGGCACGCCATGCCCTGCAAGCCGATGGAGCGTGTCGCTCGGCTTCGCGGGGCGGGAGGCTCGGGAGGGCTCGGGACGTTGGCGCTTCGGGACCGCAGGGCAGCGTGTCGCGCTGCAGCGTGGTGGGCCAGAACGGGCAGAGCGACACGCTAAGCCAAAACGCTAGACCTAAGCAGCAGGCAGTCAAACAAACTCGCCCTCGAATACCTCACAGCTGGCAAGAACAAGCAGCAAAAAACGCAAGCCTCGGTCCTCGACTCTCGATCCTGCTCTTCCTATTCCTCTACCCCCCCTTCCTCATTGCTGGTATCCTCAGGCGGTCGGTCGCCTTGTGGGTGGCGCGGGAAACAGATCCGTAGCTCCCCTCCCCGAGCTTGTCCTCTTCGAGCGCGTAGGTGTCGGATATCATGCCGGTCCGGTCTATGATGAAATGTCTCCGCCGAATGCTGGGCTCCTACAGGGGGCCCGGGTTGGAGCGCTACTGCGATAGGCCACTAGGTCACTGGGAGGAGGAGGACGAGGAGGAGGAGGAGGAGGAGAAGGAGGAGGAGGGGGAGGAGGGGGAGAGGAGGAGAAGGAGGAGAAGGGGGAGGAGGAGGAGGAGGAGGAGGAGGAGGAGGAGGAGGAGGAGGAGGAGGAGGAGGAGGAGGGAGGAGGAGGAGGAGGAGGAGGGGGAAGGGGGAGGAGGGGGAGGAGGGGGAGATGAGGAGAAGGAGGAGGAGGAGGAGGAAGATGAGGAGAACGAGGAGGAGGACGAGGAGGAGGAGGAGAACGAGAAGGAGAAGGACTGGGAGGAAGAGGAGGAAGAGGAAGAGGAGGAGGAGGAAGAGGAGGATCCTTGCCGATGCTCGGCATCCTGTCCGCCGACAGGTCACGCGAAAGCACAGGCTCGAACACCATGGTCTGCTGTGCAGTCATGGAGTAGCAGCTGCCCATGCTTCCCGATGCTCCGAAACATTTTTGGGATCGCCTCCTCCTCCTCCTCTTCTTCCTCCTCCTCCTACGTCCCCTGCGTCATGAGCAACTCCTCCTCTTCGCAGCGCCAGAAGCGTTTCGCCTGAGACCTGAGACTTCCTGGCAACCTATGACCATGTTGGTTGACATGCCACGAACGTCCTATATTCACATGTTCGAAAAGATGTTCTCGCCGTAGCGCCGCGCACATTCGTCGTACAAGTCTTCGTTGCAACAAGGCTGATGATCCAGAAACGGCTTGATATAATAAACCTGGGCCAGCTTCCGAGCCACATCTTGCAACAGTGCTTGGCCAGCTTCGCAACACACAAGCCATCGCAAGCCTTTCAATTCGCAGGATAGCCATAAGTTGATCCAGCTCAGCTGAATATGCTGAAGAAGCGCTGCGCCAAGGCGAAGACAGGAGGTTGATTAATACACGGCGTAGCTGCAGTTCCACTGATGGGTAGCAAAAGATGTTCGAAATATGGTCATCGTGCTA